TCCATCATCCGTTTCTTTTTCCCTTTTACAGATAGGCCAGTCATTTTGTCTGCAATATAATGAAGACATAAGAGGATGCATAAACTAAAACAAAATTGCTAAAGACGAAGAATAATCATTACCAACAAATTTGGGGATTTGCTTGTTGGATAAGAGTATTAAGTCTCAGACCCTCATCATACGAAAGGAATCAGGTACATTTAGGGATTGAAGTTCTAATTCACTCACTTTGTCATAATCAAAACCAGAAATCGTGTGGGGTTCTTTTTCCCAGTAAAGGGGAAATCAATAATGTCTGTCTAAAGCATACAACACTTAGGGACACCTCAGTTCGCCTCTAACTCTGACAAATCGGTCTTTAAAATCCTTATAATTGGTAGTGTACGTCTGGAGAAAACTTTTGTGGGGAGTACCACTAATTTGGATCCAGCCACCCTTCCCGACTCCTTTAACCTCAAAGAAGGAGAAAATCAAACCTACAGTGAGAATGATATTCATCGCCTCACATACCATCTCAAAAGCCTTTATAAAGCCCCAACAAATGAGGCGTAGTTGAGAGGGGGCCATGTTTATCGTATTTAAAATATCAACTTCAAAATTTGAGAAGGGAAAATGAATCTTGAAATCCTCTAATAGTCCAGCATAAAAGTAGAAGCATTCGTCCTTTGAACCCCTAGGACGTGACATGTACATGCGTTCACCAAGAACACAAGGTTTTAGGATGACATCATCTTTGTTCATGGTGGAAGATATACTCTTCATGGATCGAATCCTAGCGACTTCTATATCGTCAACTGAGCTATGATTATAGCTCAGGACTTCTTCATCAACAGAGGCATCTATGGTCATCAGTATTTCTATGAAACCTAATGAAGAAGAGTCAGAGTCATAATCGATTATAGAAATGAAAACATCACCATAAACTTCTTCTATGGCACGATTGAACTCCTTTTGACCTAGGTTATCCCTAATTTCTCAAACACATTAATTCCACATATCCTTTCGTTCCTCAACATTTTGGGGTTTCACTATGTTACCCTCATTTTTGCACTCTCTAATGAATGCGAAGAATAAAAGAAATAAACAAAGAGAAAAGGAATGCACCTGTGAATGGCGAAACATTGGAAAGTCAGAAGATTTTTGTTGACGAAGGTTGAACGAGCGTTATGAATGAGAGGATGGATGAAAAAGGAAAGGGAAAAGAGAAGGGGTTTTTTGAAATCCCTATGAACAATGACATAGAATATTGGTGATCATAGGTATCAATTCCCCATAAAATCACATCATTATTTGAAGAGAGAAAAAACACTCAAATTCACGACCTTTCTATTAAAGCATTTGTGCCCATCATGTGAGCCGAATAAAAGGATGGAAGATCGCGTTCACTATTCGGGCCAGAGGTCAAAATATCAAGTTTTTCTGTTGTCTGAACACTTCACCCTTACAGGCTCTGTGCCCGGGGGACTTATGTACATCTAGGATATTTTATCTAGACCAGGGTATGAACTCGAAGTGGAAAGAAGCCAGAGGGTAACCTAAGAGTCGATTACCTACTCAGTTGAGAAGGTGGAGAGCCTTGTTAGTCGGGTCCACCTTAGTTCAAGGTCAGAGATTTTCTGCATCTGATGACTCTTCGCATGAAACCGGCCCCGAGTATAGTCGTAATGGTAGCCAGCTTATTAAGTCATATGTTATGACTCTTTGAGTGAACTCCATCCATGGAAGCAACGACTATTACAGTATAATGAATGGAGAGGGATATGAAAGGTTGGTCTATTAAGAGGGCATTTAAGAACGGAGAAAGAATATAAAAGGGGAATAGGGGTTGTGGAAGGATCATTTGGTTCACAGACAAATACAATCATTTGCGACTCTCTCTGATCATTAGCAGAGAAGTTACTCTTTTAGTGTTTTTAGCAAGAACACATGCAACTATTGTAACTTATATTACTCATAAGATAATCAAGTTTTTGTTAGAAATATATATATGTCTTATATACGATAATTTCACAATATTAATTTGAGATGCATACAACTAGAGCTGTCAAAATGGGCTAGCAAATATGGATCGCCCCACCCGACCTAAAAAATTATAGGGCTTAGGCTTTGAAATTAGAGCTCATATCTTTAAGATTTTTCTAGTCCGGATCTAAAAAGTCCGCTATCCATTAGAGTTAGTCCGCATGCGTCGTGGGTAGTCAATTAGGCTCGCATAGCTATAAATTTTTAAATTTTTTTTATTAATTCTTGTATTGAATTACTCCCAAAATAATACATTGATTTTTTTCACTTCACTAAATTTGATCTCTATTCTATTCAATCTATTTCTTTTAAATATTGTATATTAATATAATCAACATTTTTTCCTCGTATTCTGATAGTTTTTCTTATGTTAAATATTTGAGTATTATTTTCTATAATTTAGACATGCATTATCTTTAAAAATATATTATAATATTTATAAAAAATAATATAATAATTAAAAATATATTATATTTAAAATAATATAATTTTTTACTTTTTATTAAAAAATCAATTTAAAATTGAATAATTTGAAATCCTTCTAAATCCGGACTCGAATAGTAATTTTGAAACTCATATTAAAAAAAAAACTTTTTTAACTCAATCTTAAAAAGTGTAGGCCTATCAAAATTGATCGGATAGCCTATTTTAACAAGTATTATGTATCACGTACATTACATTATATATAATTAGAATGAATATATACCCGCTGTTATAATTGAAAAATTGGGTGGAAATTTTTTGATTAGGGGTCCACATGAAGAACCTTGGATAAGACAGACCCACCCACCGTCTTGGGTGCTCTGGTTTTATCAACTATTCTCAAATCCAAGGACTCATCCGTACGGAACCATGTTATATTATGCATTTTATTTACCCCCACCTACCACTATTTTACTTGTTCCTCAAAACATATCCTTATACTGTCCCTTAACCTCATCTATATGGGATGAATCATATATTCAGTAGCCCCAACCACAGAATAAGTATGCATCAAACACTATTTCTGTGGATCAATAAATGATTATAATTAGTAGTTATATACATTTCAGAGAGGGAGAGAGAGTAAATTAATAATAACAATAATAAAGCATTACAGGGTTGTCTCAATCTGTAACTTGAACCATCATTAGAAGATAGTATTGTGGTAAGAAGTTTGATTTTTTTGGATAATAAATGGACAGAAAAAAACAAGAGAGAATACCCACTTGTCAAATGAAACATCCGTGTTATTAGAAGCCAACAACAGAGAGTTATGAAATGAGATGCACTTTCCTCTCTTTTTACGTATTTATTGTTGTTTTGTTTTATAAATTTCTTTGAAGAGAAGATATTTAATAATTACAGATGAACCCTGGTAATAAGACAAGGTGGAAGTAATTGACAAGAACGAATTAGATGAAGCCAAGTGGAAACAAATGAAGGAGGGTATGAATTTATTGTGTTGGATCAATGAACATATATCTGTTGTTCAATTTCAATGTCTATCCATGCCTCTAATAAATTTATTCTATGGAATTTTACCACATATCCACTCAATATTTTCATATGCGCTGTACTTATTTATTAGTTCATCCGTTTCTTTTTAAGTTTTATTTTAGTATAAAATTTTTCAATCAAGATAACAGATCGTTAAAATTATTTTTTTAATTTTATTATTTATTTATTTTAAATAAATTCAATCACATACTCTATTTTTTTTCAATAATTAATTAAAAAATAATTTTATAAAAAATATGAAGTAAAATTATTTAAAAAATAAGAATATAATTAATAAATTATAATATTAAATTATAAAAATGACACTTAAATAAAACAATTTTTTTTAAAACAACACTTAAAAATGAACGGAAAAAAATGATTAAAAAATTTCAATTTTTAAAAATATTGAAAGAGAGAGTAGATCATGGTGAGGGGTAGTGCACACACTAACATCAAAATTCAGGGGGGATGAACTTCAGTTACTCAAGGTCCACGCCCCACCCTTCTCATGTGACCCCATCATCAACTTGATGATTTGTGGGCCCTAGTTCGCATCCCCATCTCACAACTCAAAGTCATGAATTTGCAATCAAGGATGAAAGTTGGATCAAGTTAGATTTTCTTAAATTTAAATCTAATTTATCAAAATAATTGAAGTCTAAGTCTGATATATATTTAGACATGAGTCTGATACTTTTTAAGGTCTGTTTAATTTGTTAATCTACATAAAAATTTATTATTTTAAATATATATAAATAAGTAATTTAAATAATGTTTAAATAGACTAACAAATTAAAAAATTAATAAGATTAAAAATTTGTTTGTATCGATTTATTTTAATTTATTTATTAACTTAAATTTTAAGAAGATTTGTAAAAACAATTTATAACATTGTTTGTAAGATATTTTTATCTTATTTTCATAAGTTTTTCAAGATAATCAAATTTTATTTTTATATTTTGATTCAAAGTATAAAATTTAATATAATAATATAAAAAATTATTTATATTTATTTATATAAATTGACTTGTTAAATTTATAAAAAAAAAAATTTATAGCATACAGTCTAATCTTTTTAAATCTTTTTTATTAAAAAATAAAACTTAACATGATTTGATTATATGTAAAGTAACTCATAGACCACTGTTCCGTGCCTATTTCCACCCCCACCTTGCAACATAACATAAAGACCCACCCTTTTCCCTTCATTTCCTATAGTCTCCCCTTTCACACCCATGAATCTTCCTACTTCCATCCTCATTTTCAGTTGACCCACACCATCCCCAACCCTACACTCCCATAATTGCTAGTATTAAGCAACTATCACCTCATTATTTTAAATTGTCTCGACTAAGCATATTTCTTTTTCAAATAATAATAATAATAAATATCAAACTAACTGTCCCTCCCTCTCTATATATAATTCCTTCCTCGAACAACTCCTATTCCAACACACATACACGACTCTCTTCTTTATATTACAACTTTTAAAAAAAATGGATGGAGGTAGTTGCTTAGACGAAAGCACCACAACCGAATCACTTTCCATAACAATATCGCCAGCGTCAACACCGCCGCCTCCAAAGAGCCTATGCCGCGTCGGCAGCGGCGCCAGCGCAGTTGTTGACTCCGACGGAAGCACCGTTGGAGAAGCCGAGTCACGGAAGCTTCCTTCTTCCAAATACAAAGGCGTGGTGCCACAACCAAACGGTCGTTGGGGAGCACAGATTTACGAGAAGCACCAGCGTGTGTGGCTTGGTACCTTTAACCAAGAAGACGAAGCTGCAAAAGCTTACGACGTCGTCGTACAACGGTTCCGCGGAAAGGATGCCGTAACGAACTTCAAACCATTATTATCGGGCGATGGCAACGACGAGATGGAGGTTGAGTTTCTAAACTCGCATTCGAAGTCGGAGATCGTGGACATGTTAAGGAAGCACACATACAATGACGAACTTGAACAGAGTAAACGTGGAAACCGATTCGTCAACATACGAATCCGCATCCACGGCGCTGAGAACTTTACCGGCTCAGAACACAGCGCGTGTGAAAGAAAAGCGCGTGAGGCTCTGTTCGAGAAGGTGGTTACGCCGAGTGACGTTGGGAAGTTAAATAGGTTAGTTATACCGAAACAGCACGCGGAGAAGCATTTCCCTTTACAGGGAAGTGCGTCGGCAGGGAAGAGAGTGCTTTTGAATTTTGAAGACGTTGGAAGGAAAATGTGGCGGTTTCGATACTCATATTGGAACAGTAGCCAAAGCTACGTTCTGACGAAAGGTTGGAGCCGGTTTGTTAAAGAGAAAAATCTGAAAGCCGGTGATACAGTTTGTTTTCAACGGTCTACTGGACCGGATAAACAGCTCTTTATTGACTGGAAAGCAAGAGAGAATGTTAATGAGGTTAGACCGGTTGTTGAGCCGGTTCAGATGGTTCGGCTATTTGGGGTTAATATTTTCAAACTCCCTGGATCCGATGATAATAGTAATGTCAATGGCTTCTGCAATGGAAAGAGGATAGAGATGGAAATGTTTACTTTTGACTCTTGCAAGAAGCCTAAAATTATTAGAGCTTTGTAACATTACATTAACTTCTTTTTTTTGAGTTTTTGTGAGCGATGAAAGAAATGGATCTCCAAAACGCGATGATCCTAGTATCCCACTACTTGTGTTGCAAGTTGCAAAGAATGAATTGTATATTACTTAAAATTAGAAGAAGGTGAAAGTGTAACAAAACTAAAAGCAAAAATGTTTTAAAAGGAAAAGGATAACCGTCACTACAAAAAAAAGTTTATTTGCCACGTGAAAATCACGTGGTAAACATCAAAATCAGGTGGCAAAACAAAAATAGCGACATGGAGATTTATGTTGCTGGGAAGCCAGTGGTAAGCCAATAGCGACGTGATTCTCATGTCACAAAGTTGTGACATGGTATTCACGTCGCAACAGCTTTGTTTTAGGGAATATAAAATAAAGTTGTGACATGGTATTCACGTCGCAACAGCTTTGTTTTAGGGAATATAAAATCTGACATAGCAGCTTTAGTTGCGACGTGAGAATCATTCCACTAATTTGTGACATGATTCCCACGTCGCTACAGGTGACGTTTTTATTTTTTTTAAAATTGTTTAGTAATTATTTTTTATATTAATTAATTTATGTAATAAAATTTAAATAATAAAATTTATATAATAAAATTTATATAATAAAATTTATATAATAAAATTTAAATAATAAAATTTATATAATAAAATTTATATATTAAAATTATTAGAATAATAGTATTTTAGTATATATTCGAATAATAGAATTTTATAAAATAAAGTCATATAATAAAATGTTATATAATTTAATAATATAAAATGATAAAAATAAATATCTTACATAAATGCAAATATAAAAACGAAATAAATAAAATGTTTTCACGGGGCATCTTCACCCGGATAATTATCAAGATCAAAATCATCAATTCCGTCATCATCCGGCTATGTATGATCAGGAACATTTTGATTTCCACCACCTTGCATAAACCGTCTCATCTGCTCCTCCATATTAGATTGCCTCTTCCGCATGATCTCTAACTGCTGCTCCTGCTCTTGCCTCATTGTCGTCATTTAGGTCTCCATTTCGCGTCTCACTTCACTTGCCGCCAATTGTCTTACTGTTTCAAGTTGAACCTGTGTCAGATTCGGTTGACGTGACCCTCCCTCTCCATCTCTAAGTCGTTGAAACAGATTACGATCACCAACTCTCAAGCCGGCGGCCAAATTTCCTCCCGCAAAAAAAGCAACCATTAGGCCCTTTTCCATTAACAACCTCATTCCAAATATAGAAATCAACATCACCATTAAGCGGCTCCCCTTCTGCTGGCCTATATTGAGGATTGTGTTCCAGAAAACGTGCTAGCAATGTCTGATAATCATCCTACACATACATTAAATAATAAAATTAAATATATATATATATATATATATATATATATATATATATATATATATATATATATATATATATATATATATATATATATATATATATATATATATATATATATTAAATTTATGCTAAATTAAAATATTTATATATTAAATTATACTAAATTCAAATATATTAAAAATTTGTCACGTGATTTTCACAAATCAACTTATGAATTGCCACATGATTTTCCCGTGGCAATGTATCAGTTGCCACATGAAAATCAGTCACGTGGCAATTTATCAGTTGCCACATGATAATCACGCCACAACTTATAGATTTCCACGTGAAAATAACGTCACTATTTTTGTTATTAACTTTAAAAAAAATATAAATTAAATTACTTACAAAAACTCTCTTGGTGCGCTCGTCGACAAAACCTCCCGATTTCTTTGTCCGAGTCCTCGTAATCAACTCAATAATCAATGGTGGTCTCCCCATCTCCTTAGTCTAAACAATAAAGTTAAAAATAATCAGTAAAAAATATTATGAATAAAAATATATATAACTTAAAAAATTAGTAATATTTACCATCCGCCGGACATGCTCTGCAGTGCTAATACTTCCAACAATATTGACACATCCCCCCTTTTCGGATGCCCTCATCTTCTTAAAATTTTTGGATTTGGCCTTGAATTCTGGCGAACCCCAATATGTACGAAGTTCGCCAAAAACCTCTACGCCTATCCAGTTAGGACGGATACCATGCAGCTCATAATTCTCCCTAACCCGCCGCATTATATCAGAAAATCTTCTAGAAGTTCTGCTATAATAGATTTTTTCCATAATTTTCTCATTCAACGGATCCCACACACATTTTTCCTGCAATGTTGTATGACATTAAAATAAAAAGTTAAGTAATTATCATTAAAATGTGACTTAAATAACAATACTAAAAAAATATATTAAATTTACAACTTAAATAAATAACAATACCTTAAATTTTTTAAACCATTCTTCTTTATTTGTAACCTCGCCAAAGTTCCTCCAAGATGATTTATACATCTGCTGGATTATATAATTAATAACCTTGGCAGCCGTCCGACTCGGCGCGAAACTAAACAACAAGATTTTGAATAAACAATATTAATTATAAATTTATACAAAATATTAAAATGAATATGTACTTAAATAAAAGTTTATATAAGAAACTTACTTGCTTCCTTCGGGCCAAATCCAAAACCTCCCGTCAATGACATGAATCTCACTCGGATCATCTCTCTCACGAAGATCAGCTCCATCTATATCATCAGCTACCACATCTGCATCACCGTCAGCCTGTGTAGGACGTGGGGTGCTGGATCCTGCAGCCTGTGTGGGATGTGGGGTGCGTGATCCTCCGGTTCGTCTAGGACGTGGGGCGTGGGTTCCTCCAGCCTGTGTGGGACGGGGACTGGGGGATCGTCCAGCCTGTGTCGGACGTGGACTGCTGGGTCCTCCAATGTGTGTGGAGTGTGGGGTGCTGGACCCTCCCGCCTGCTGGAAGGACGAAGACATCTGTGTGGGTCCCCCCGTCTGCTGGAATGATGAAGGCACGCCAGTCTGTAGAAATGGAAAACTGGGTCCTCCCCCCGTCTGCTGGAATGATGAGGGGACACCAGTCTGCTGGAAAGATGAAGGCACCTGAGTCGGTGGGAAAGGGAAACTAGATCCTCCCGCATGCTGGAAGGAAGATGGCATCTGAGTCGGTGGGAAAGGAACACTAGATCCTCCCGCGTGCTGGAAGGATGACGGCATCTGGGTCGGTGGGAAAGGGAAACTAGATCCTCCCGCATGCTGGAAGGAAGACGGCATATGAGTCTGTGGGAAAAGGAAACCGGGGCCTCCAGGTGGCACAAAAGATGCAGGTACCCCAGACGGGAATGTATGGGAGGAGAGTAATGGGACAAAACCCTGAGTACTGGCCAGGGACATAGGATCAACCTGACTCTGAGGGGGTGGGCACATGGCTGAGTGAGGAGACTCACATGTTACTACCCTCGGACGCTGAGACTTCTTACCGCTATCCTTATTCTTCGGTGGCATTTTACCTAGTTATATATATTTTCATAAACAAAGATAATAAAGTCATTGACATAAATATATATTCATTGACAAATTCAATATATACATGTTCAATAGATATTCATTAATATTACATTAAGTGATTAATTAATCTAAATCTTCATGCTCGTTATCCATATCATGTTCATCATTCGATGTAATATTGTCCTCGGATTCAAACTCTTCATCATTGTCTTCATCCACATTATTATCAACCAACAATATAGACGCATCAACTTGAAGTCCCTCAACAGTTGTATCAGACAAAGTTGTAATGTCTTCAGCTGCAACCACATCATTAATCTGTTCAACATCATCAACTTGGTAGGCAACATCTTCCACTAGATCTCCAGTTTCAATATGACCTAGCGGTTTTGTTTTTATTACAACACACCATCCTCTTTTACGTATTACAAATGAAGGATAAGGAACATAATAAACTTGCCTAACAATATGTGATATTATGAAAGGGTCATATTCTTTGTATCTCCGGTTCATTTGAATCTCGACAGAACCATATGACTTGTCTATCTTTGTGCCTCTAGTTGGATCATACCATTCACAATAAAACAAGACAACTTTATTTTCCATGTCCAAGTAATTGTATACCAACTCGTAGATATGTTTAACAAATCCATAGAAGTCGTCTTCACCGCCATCTGTAACTCCTTTTACAAAAACACCACTATTTATGGTTTTTTTCCCTTCGGTCCATGCCTCGGTGTGAAATTTATATCCGTTCACGAAGTATGTGTGCCAATCATTTGCGCTTTGGATAGGGCCTTCTGCCAAGTTTCTCAATATGCATAACATCAAGATTATGGCGCAACAAATTATCTTTCCAATACGGAAGATCCCAAAATATACTTCTTTTTGTCCAATTGTGGGTGACGCCGTATCCTTCAATTCGGCATGCTTTGCCAGTATCTGTAAATTTTGGTAGTTCACATACTTGGTTCCATATAACCCCTGGTGGCAATCGAGACGTGGGCATATCTTTCTCTCGTACATCTTTTTTAAAATTTGTCTTGTTTCTTCTATATGGATGATTTGCTGGTAGGAATCTGCGGTGACAGTCAAACCATGAGCTTTTCCCACCTTTATCCAACGTAAATGCTTTGGTGTATCCAATGCAATGCGAACAACCCATTTTTCCATGCGTACCCCAACCAGACAACATGCCATATGCTGGAAAGTCATTAACGGTCCACATCAAGGCATCTCGTAATGTGAAGTTCTGTTTACGGGATATATCATAAGTCCATTCTCCAATCCACATCTTCTTCAAATCATCAATTAAAGGTTGTAAGTACACATCAATTCCGACTTTTGGACTGTGCGGGCCTGGAATAACACACGTCAAAAACATGTATGGTTTTGTCATGCACATCTCAGGAGGGAGGTTGTAAGGTGTTACAATAACTGGCCAACAAGAATACGCACTTCCTGACGCTTGCACGTATGGGGAAAATCCATCAGAGCATAATCCAAGCCTGGCATTTCTAGGTTCTGCAGCAAAATCTGGATGTGTCCGATCAAAGTGCTTCCATGCCTCACCATCAGATGGATGTCGCATAGTGCCAGAACTTGTTTGGTTTGTATGATGCCATGTCCTTTGACTTGCACTGTGCATTGAAGCAAACATTCTTTGTAACCTTGGTATTATAGGAAGATAAAACATGGATTTTACTGCTACACGCTTTTGCTTGCTGTTAACGGCTCTACTGCGAACTTGATATCTTGGACTATTACAAAACTTACACTCCTCTAACGATCCATCTTGAGTACCAAACTCATTGTCATAAAACAACATGCAACCGTTAATGCAACAGTCAATCTTTCTTACTTTTAAACCCAACTTCGACACCCACTTCTTTGCATCATAATAACTTGTAGGCAAGTTGTCTTTCGTAGCGGTGGAGTCCAACATCATTTTTGCAAAATGTTCCAGACATTGATCAGAAACATTCCAATTTGACTTGGCGGCCAATAATCTCACACACATTGATAGCTTCGAGTCTGACGACCCCTCAAACAACGGCGTATTCATCTCGTTCAATAATTGATAAAATCTTTGCGCTTCCTCATTCGGCAACTCTTCCCCGTCAAAATCTCCAGGTTCATCATATGTCACGTTCACACCAAAAGCATCCTCAACCATGTCACCGATCAAATTAAAGTTCTCCTCATACTCCATAACCGGTCGACTACTTGAAGCATGCGTGTTGCTAGTCTCTGGTACATTAACCGGTAGTTCTTCACCATTATACGTCCAAACCCAATAATTTTCAATGAATCCCCTTCTATGCAGATGACGTGTTACTTCCTCTGGGTCACTAATTATTGGTCTACATTCACATTTAAGACAGGGACACCTAACCCCTCCTTCGCTTCGACAACAATCCTGAGCAAACGCCCACTTAATAAACCCATCAACTCCTACTATAAAATTGGGTTTAAGTCCACTTCTTCCTGGATATGTTCTATCGTACATCCAACTGCGATAATACCGATAATATTCCATACTGCACATTTATACAATCATTGTCTTTTTCATTAGAAATATTAATCAACTTAATAATATTATTCTTAAACTATTTAATACTATTCTTAAAAATATAAATTTTGCTTTTTTATATATATACTAACATATAAATAAATATTTATTTATATATAAAATATATAATTTTTTATTACATAACAATAATATCAAAAAACAATAATATAACATATTTACTTTTTATTATATATACAACAATAATATTAGAAAACAAATAATGTAACATATATACTTTTTATTATATATATAACAATAATATTAAAATAATAATATAATATATATACTCTTTTTTTAATTATGTTTTTTATAAATTCTTATTTTAATATATAATTTTTTTTTCATATCTTTAACATATAAATAAAAAAATAAAGCTATTATAATAAATATAATATACATTTTTGTTTTTAAATAAGTTATTAAATTTATGTGTTAACATATATATATACATCTATAAAAAATAAGACTTTTAATTTTATGTTTTCTAAAATTTTTTATTACCAGTACATATACTACTAACAAAATACATATACTCCTTAACCACAAAATACATATACTACTAATCTATATAATACATATAAAATATAAAAAAAATGCATAAATACCTCTATATAATTTCTTCATTTAATTTGCTTCTTCTTGTGTAGCTCTTGGTGTTCTTCTTCAAATTTCTCTACAAATAATGAACAAATGAACAAATACCCTTTTTAATATTTATTACCAGTATAATAAATAATGAACAAATGAAATAAAAATTTATCAAAATATGAATACCTTATTTTTCTTCAACAATTTGGGATGGAGGAAATTTGATTTGGGAATTTGGGTTTGAGAGGAAGAAGAATGGGTTTGAGAGGAAGAAGAAAGGAAGAGGAAAGGAAGAAGAAAGGAAGAGGAAAGGAAGACAACGCTGTTGTAACAGATGAGAATTTTGGAGATGTAAACGTCAAGTAGCGACGTGACTGTCACGTCGCAACATTGCCACGTGATACTCACGTCGCTACACACTAAACAGAAATATTATTCTCTTTCCCACTCTGCAACCCTGTCATCAACCAACTTTATTTTCCCCCCTTTAATGTAGCGACGTGACTATCACGTCGCTACCAAATTTCAAATTTCCCCCTTCTGTAGCGACGTGTAAGACACGTCGCTGATTATTTTACTATACAAACTTCTCTGACTTGCGTTATGTATCATTAAAATATATTTGCGACGTGGTTATCACGTCGCAACTGCATTTATTACTCACGTGATAACCACGTCGCTAATATATGTCGCAAATAAGAGTATTTTTTGTAGTGCGTTTTAATTGTATAAATATATCTTGGTGTATTTCCATGCATTTATAGAGGAGTATGTTGTAATCCATGGTCCTTCCACATTCCATCTTTCTTTCTACTTTAGTTGTATTTGGATCCTGTACTAGTATTATGGTGCTGCAATTGCAATGGTAGGCACGATTAGGTTTTAACAAACAAACAACAACGCTAGCCGTTTTTTCTTTCCAAAATCTAACGTCCCATAACTGCAGAGTTAGAGAATCCAAACACCATATAGTATTATTTTGAACTTTTATATTACAAGGAAATAAGGTTGGTTATGTGAAAATTACAATTTAAAAGCATGATTGTGATAAAAAAAAACATTAATTTGCATCATTTTTTTTTGTGGCATTGAAGCATGAAGAGGGGACCCAAAGAGAGGCATGGCCTAAGAAAGTGTGAACAGAAGTTGATAATGAAACATTTGTCCAATAAATATAAAAGCCTTGTTGGCAAGTGGGCATTGTGTACACTGTACATAGACACACACATCCTTCTAGTAATCTTAAAAAAACCTGCCCGGTATGTCCTTTTTGTAATGTCAATCCTACATTTAGCTCTTTTTTATATTTTCTTAAGTGCATCTTCAATTGTACAATTAATTTCTGAGTTTTTTTTAGATTCATTAAGACACATCAATTTCAAGTAACTCATTTAATTTTTCAGTTCAATAATACAATTCTAGAAAAATTCATATTGAGTTCCATTATTTACTTTATATAATAATATTTTATCATATTCAACTATAATATTTCAATTATATTCTAACTGTATGTTATATTAGGTCCCCCAATGCACGTTAGCTGGCAATAATTTTCTCTTTTTCCCATACTAAATTCACACTTTATGTTGGCAAATTATGTGAAAGAACCACAGTTGAAATGGTCTAAGTTTAATGTATCTTTAGTCCCTTAATTTAATTTAAAATTTTATTTTAATCTTTTATTTAATAAATTTTCGTATTAAATTCCTTAAATGGCATTCTGTTAATTAAATTAGTCCTATTTATTAAAGTTTTTCATATTCGGTTAACTTGTGGCATGCGAACTGGTTTTAGATTTGGTGACATGAAAATATTTTATTTTAAATTTATTTATAATTAAAAATTAAAAAAAAAATTGTATCGGTTTCTCTCTTCTTCTCTCTCCTCCAACCTTAGTCGCACCACTCAAAACACAGTGTATCTTCTTTCTCTAGAACCTTCTCTCTTTTTTTGTTTTTGACTTTTCGCTTACAAAAGAAAAAGTTTGCACCTTTTTCAACCATTTCACTCTCTCTATCTTTGAAATGGCCGCCAGCAAAGGACCAAACGGCGGGGCAAGTAAGCCATGGTAGGAGGACGTTTACTGGACCCATTTCTAGTTCATCCATTTTACTCAATTTCTTCACAACGATTTTCAACGACAACTTGTAAGTAAACAAACCCTTTTCATCTTTTCTTTCTTTCATTGCTCTTAATCAAATAAAAATCAAATCTTTCTTCCCAATGATTTTTGCATTTTTTTTTACTTGCCCATCTTTTAATTGTGTTTTTGTACAGTAGTAGATTTCTATATTTCTGCTTCAAAGTCATGCAGAAAATATGATGTTTAGATGAGCAAGCTTAAGATTGAACTGGATAAATTCACTTAATTTGTATGCTTTATTTATAGACTAATTTCTCATTTGTTAACTACAGATTTTTGGAATTCATATACTTCTTTTTGTCCTCCTTGTAAGTATTATTCTTCACCTGTTCATCATTCCTTGTTGGTCAACACTGGATTTATTATATTTCCTTTTCGTAGGACATTGAGAATGGAATACTAAAAGTTAAGTGGGGAGAGTGCTTTCATGCTTATGAGTCTTCTTGGAGCAACTCTTGTGCATCATAAAAAATGTAGTAGAGTCCAGCCTCGTGTGATTTTAGATGGTCAAAGCAGCTTTATTTGGTGAAATTGTAATTATTTGTGAGGAATATAATTTTGATAAAGCTAGAGAATTTTGTTTCTATATAAGTGTAAATTTGATGTGTAGTTAATAATGTTTAGAGTGGATTTAGAATGATATTTTTTATTTTTTTTGGTTAATTTGATATGAAAATGAAGTTATTGAATAATTTATTTGGTGGTTTATTTGTGTTGGTTATTAGCAGGATTTACAAAAATTTAAGTATTAAAATAATCCTTTGTTTAAAAGCTTACAGAAGAACAATTGGTATATTTTTTTGCATATATTTAACAATTTGCGAGGGTTTTTAATCTCCGAAGATAAAACTCCTGGAATTTAAATAAAATACCTGTTTTTTAAAACATATGTTGAGTCACAAATAGATATACTAATCTTTATTATCATGTCACATCAGTCAACTTAATGTTTTCACAGGCAAATTAATAAAATATTATTAAGAGACTTATTTGAAATGTTTATTATATAAGGGACCAAACTGAAATCTAAAATTAAATAATAGAACTTGAGAACTAAATAAATTTATTCTTAAATAGTAAAATTAAGATTATATATATATATATATATATATATATATATATATATATATATATATATATATATATATATATATATATATATATATATATATATATATATATATATATATATATATATATATATATATATATATATATATATATATATATATATATATGTGTGTATTGATAATGTAAAATATTTTTACATTGTCAATCAATTGGAGATACACTTAAATGATATGATAAATGTAAGAGTTTTAATTGGTTGGATATGTAAAATCATTTTACAATAATGATGCAATATATATATATATATATATATATATATATATATATATATATATATATATATATATATATATATATATATATATATATATATATATATATATATATATATATATATATATATATATATATATATATATATATATATAAAAGAGAAAATTATATATTTTTTATTTTTTATTAACAAATAATAAAAATAACCCATAAAATTGTATTTAAGTTCTCGTTAAAATTACTATAAAAAATATTTATTTGTAACTATATTTTTGGTATAAAGTAATGTTATACTTCGTTAATGACTAACTCTTTTGAGAAACTTACTAGCCATTTTTAACAACTAATGGCAGTCTGAATTTTCTTTTAATTCTTGACGATAAAAATTAGAACAGAAGGAACAAGTAGATGAAGTCATTGTTCGATTTTCATGAAATCCTATAAGTGGTCGAAAACGGTATTTCTGAGCTTGTTCGGGATGCAAGTGATGTGCAGAAAACTACACACAAGGAGGCAAAGAATAAAGATTGCATGGTTGCGTATTACAGTCGATCGGCAGTAGATTTAGCGAATTTCGACAAAATCTCTCATGTTGAATCGGCGAAGGAGGCATGGGATATTTTTGTCAAGTACTATGAATGAGGTGAGAAAGTCAAAGTCGTCAAATTGCATACTTTACGACGGCAGTATGAATTGGTGCAAATGGGAGAAGATGAAAATATTGTAGGCTATGTGTCGAATATGCAAAATCTCGTCCATCTCATGAAGGATTTTGGTGAAATCCTAATTGATAAGATGATTGTTGAGAAGGTAATGCATACATTAAACTCTCACTTTGATCGCGTTATTGTAGCTATTCAAGAATTTGACAATCTTGAAACCGTAAAACTAGAAGATTTGGTTGGTTCGTTGGAGGCGCGTTTTTCGAAAGAAGAGGGGTTTAAGATTTGATACAAGCACTGCAAGCTCAGGCATGGAAGAAGCATGGTGGTTCCAACAAGTTCAAAGGCAAAAGAGACAAGCCTTAGAGCAAGAAGTCTTGGTCGAACCCTCAAAAGCATAAAGTCGGTGATAGGGCTTCTGAATCCTTGAAAAGAGGAGAAGGAAATTCCTACCAGAAAGACAAAGAAGAGAAAGTGTGTTGTGTTATAACTGAAAAATGGGGTCACTTGGACAAGAATTATTGGTACAGGAAAGACAATGGAGCAAGAAAAGGAAAGGACGGATGAGCAAACCTTACACACCAAGACTTAGATGATTATGAAGATATGGTGGTTATGGCTGCAGTTGTAGATGATCATGTGAATTCCAATATCCGATTCCTCTACTTGGGCTGCTCGAATCACATGACTAGTTGAAAAGTGTGGTGAGCAGATTTTGACCAGTTGAAGAAGAGCAAGGTCAAACTTACTGATAATAGCTCGTTGCAAGAAGAAGGTGTTGGCGACATACTTATTCAAATGAGTAATAGAGAGAAAGCTATGATCCAAGATGTACTATGTGTACCTGAAATAAAGTACAATCTGCTAAGTGTTGGACAACTGGTCGAAAAAGGTTTCTTAGTGGTTATGAAATATCAAGCCTCGGAATTGTTTGACTCTCGGAATAATTTGGTCTTGAGATCTCCTCTATCGAAAAATAGGATATTTAAGACCATGATCAGTTTGAATGAGGTACGATGTCTGAAAACAGTTGTCAACCACAAGAATAGTTGGTTGTGGCATTTGAGGTTTAGCCATATGAACTTTAGTTCGTTCAATCAACTTATCACTCAAGAAATGTTAACAAGTATACCAAGTCTTATGATGCCTGACAAACTCTGTGAAAGTTGCTTAGTAGGGAAGCAATCCATAAAGTATTTTGTTTCAACTATGCCAATGAGATCCTCTTGCATACTCGAATTTGTACATTCAGATGTATGTGGCCTTTTTGAGGAGCATATCATTGGTGGAAACATGTATTTTGTTTCATTTGTCTATGAGTATAATAGAAAGCTTTGGATCTATCTGATCAAGCGAAAGGACAAAGTATTCGAAATATTTAAGAGATTCAAGATGCTTGTCCAAAACCAGAGTGAAAAAAATATCAAAGTTTTGTGTACAAATGGAAGTGGTGAATATACATCCAAGATTTTTGAAGAATTATGTGCAAAACATGATATTGATCATGAGGTAACTGCTTCTTATACACCTCAACATAATGGAATAGCAGAAAGAAGAAATAGGACCATATTGGATATGGCGAGATGCATGTTGAAGCAGAAGAATCTGCCAAAATTCTTATGGGGTGAAGCAATCATCATTGTTGTTTATATTTTAAACTGATGTCCGATGACACTCTATCATTGCATATATTTATCGAAGAATCGGAGAAATACAAGTTAAATATGAGAAAATATGAAGTATAATGGAGATATGAGGAATATAGTCCCTCGTCAATCCCTTCGAGCCTATAAGTAGGAGTTTCTTTCTGCATGAAAATAAAACCCTTAATCTCAACCTGGGACAAGGTATTTGTTCAGTTAAAGCGACTAATGCATTCGAATTCCATGATAATCATTCCATCTTCCATGGATCATTCCAAATACCTTCTAATAGGTTCAACCGCGTCCTCTCTTCGTACAAAATGTCGAAGAAGTAATGGAAATCCAAAGCTTACAAGGGTTGTTTCTCTTGAACCATCAATATGGTAGTCACAATCCTCAAAATTTCAAATCAAAAGAACAAATGCCACATAAGTTATTCCAAAAAAAAATTATAATCAAATAAAATCCCACTAAGTCGAAAACCTCAAATGATAGGCAAAAATTAGGGCATCTCGCTGGATTGGAAGCTCAAAAGAAGCAGTCTAGGAAAAAGTTAGGGATACAAAACAACAAAAACAAAATCAAAGAAATATTACCAAAATCAAAGCAAGAACAAGCTTGTGTGACTTCCATAGAAGAATAGGTGTGTGTCACCTCAAATAGCATTGGTTCTCAAGCCACCACGTCGTCATTTATAATTCCTCTTGGAAGTTAAATCTGTGGGTCAATTAACTGAACATAGGACTGGAGATCATCACGAAAAATAGGGTGGGTTAAAATCAAAATTTGAGCCTATATTCTTTGTTTCATAAACCATGAAATAGACCATGTTACAACATTCAAAATACCTAATTGAAGCAAGGTTTACTTTGAAAGCATACTTCAGCAAGGTTACATTAACCTGACTCCTAAATGTTTGCTAATCAATTGTGTTGATACCATGTTATCACATCGTTTCACATCTTAAATTTCAAAATTATCTTTGCATCCTCATCAAGATTTACCCATTATATATCATAATTTGATTTCAATAAATGATTCGATTTCAAAAAGTTTGCATAATCATCGCATTAAAATTACTATTTCACAATAAAAAATTTCATCTGCAATTCAGTACTTGATACTAAGGACATTTCACAGCATGTGAAATTGGTTAAGGAGCTTGATCATTCGCAAGTGCTCCCATCAGGAGCAAATATCTTCAGGACCTGGTAAACCATTCCAAAGATCAGTTAACTAGGGGCAATCCATTTTAAAGTTCCAAACACTGGGGCGTGCCATTTCAAGATCATTAGTTGGTTTCTAAACCCTTGTTGACACAATTTTCATCAAGGACTCAGCAACTTGGGGAAAGACAAGGCCAAAACCTCTCCATATCAGATCATGTCAACAAT